CAGGGGGGGGGAAAAGGGGCTTCCCCCCCCCCGACCAATCATGGTCTGGGAGTAGGGTAGCCCCGCCCTTTCCTGTTTAGGCCCCATTCCGTCCTGTTTAGACCCTCACCCCTTCCTGGGTGGCCCAGGACTATTTCAAAAATTTTTGAAGTGGCCCTAGGCTTGCTAGATGCTTTCACCAAAAATCCCAAACATGGCAAAAAAACAAACAAACCTGGCAGACCAAAAACCCCAGGAGACAAAAGTTGTTTTTTTGGGGGGGGGAGGTTGCCTGTGCCTTTAAGAATCCCCACACTCCTTGCTTCCCCCATGCTAGATGTGTCAGGAGAAGATTTTCCCCACCGGCCTTCCGTCGAGAGAAACAGAAAATACATGTCTGGTATTTTCTGGGGTTTTTTTACCGGACAGCGGCCAGAAATACAGACTGTCTGGGTGAAAACCGGACACCTGGCAACCCTAAGTGGCCCCGGGGCAAAAATTATTGTCCACCCCGCTCTAGTCCATGTAATAATCAGTATTTGCATTAATGCCTTAAGATGAAAAAGGATACAGTTCTTTAAAATGTGGATGATAAAAAGCTCATACAGTTAGTTAAGTTGTTGACAAGTTAAAATCAAAATTAAAACTTTGCAAAATAAACTGGTTTGTAATATTTAAAATAAAGTTAAATAAAGAATAATTTAGAGAAACTCACATGGGGGAAATGCACATTAACCCAGTATCTAGTTAAAAGACAAGAAACAAAGAGTTAGGAGTAAATGGTCAGTTTTTGGAATGGAGAGAAATAGCATTGCCCTAGAGGGATCTGTTCTGTGAGAAGTAATGTTCAACATATTAATAAATGATATGGAAAAGGGGGTAAATAGTGAGGTGGCAAAAATACAAAATTGCTTAAGAGGGTTAAGTCTAAGGCAGAGTGAAGAGTTAAAAAGGATCTCATAAAAGTGGGGTCTAGGCAAAAAAGCGGCAGACAAAATTCAGTGTTAACAAATACAAAATAATGTACACTGGAAAACATAATCCCAATAATACATAAAAAATGTTGAGGTCTAAATTAATTGTTACCATTCAAGAAAGTGATCTTGGAGAAGATAATTCTCTGAAAATATGTGCTGAATGTGCAGTGACAATAAAAAAAAAAAAGCTTAGCATTAGGAGATGTTAGGAAAAGAATTGAAAAGATAGAAAAATATCATAATCCATTATATAAATCAACAGTATGTCCACATCTTGAATATTGTGTGTAGTTCTGGTTGCCTCATCTCAAAAAAGGTATATTGGAATTTGGAGAAAAGTACATAAAAATAACAAAAATGATTAAGTGTATGAATGGTTCCCATATAAAGAGAGATTAGAAAGACTGATACTTTTCTGTTTGTCAAGACATGACTGAAGACTAATGTTATAGAATCTTCTACAGTCACGAATGGTGTAGAGAAAATGAATAAATAAATGTTTATGAAGGAATAAACATAACAAAAGAAATTGGATACACAATGAAATTAATAGGCAGGTAGTTTAAAACAAACAAAAGGAAGTACTACTTCACACAACCCATAGACAACCTATGGAACTCAATTGCCATGGGCTGTTGTGAAGGTCAGAAGTACAACTGGTTCAAAAAATAATTAGATAAGTTCATGGAAAATAGGTAGATCAGTGACTTTTGCGAAGATGATGGCGATGTAACCCTGTGTTCAGGGTGTCCTTCTCTAGGAGTGGACAACAGGGTGTTTCATCTGCTCCCTGTCCCTTTGAAGCACCTGGAAACTGGCCACTGTTGGAAGACAGGATTCTGAGCTTGATGGACCATTGTTCTGACCCAGTATGGCTGTTCTTAATCAAATGCACAAATACAAAATGAGGGTATGCAGTTTATAGAATAATAGGAGACAAATAGTTCTGGTCATCAATGAAACTGCTGCTGTTTCTTTCTTGGCAAATACTAAAGAAATATTGGGCCAGTTTTTCCCTGGTGAAATTCTGACTTCAAGGGAGCCTTCAGAGATACATTTAGCTGTTTTTGTGCAAAACAAGCAATGTAGGTATCTGCTCTATTTGGCATGTCAATGCTAAATAATAAAATTTTGCATTGGGATGACCCCATTTGCAATACTGTATTTATTTTTACATACTTGATCTTAATGCAAGCAAACATACATTTACAAGAGTCTGGGGAGGGAAATAAGAAGTTTGGCAATTCATACATATGATTAAAGGTGAACATGATATTCTCTGTGGAGAATGGAAAACTGACTATTTACAGATATATAAAAGAATTTATAATTGGCAGGATTCAATTCTAAACAGTGTAAATAAAAGAAATTGGCTTAGGAGGCAACAGGGGAAAAACAGATTTTTATTAGGAAAAACAATTTTCCAAGTGGTACAAGCTGTCAAATAATACTAGGGAATTACTTTCACCAGCGATATTCAAAGGATCAGGGATGATGTGAGAAAATTCAGATCAGGAAATGCTTCCCACAGTGCAGGGAGATAAATATAATGAACCATTATTGGTCATCTGGGCTATCCAGTTCAGTAACCCCCACCCATTCTGAGTGCCTCTTTTAAGTGATGTTTGCATTTCACTGATAAAAATGAGAGGAGATATTTTCCTTCCTTGAGTCAAATTAACATTATACCAATTGTAAAATCTTAATGGAGGCTAGAGGTAGTATTTTTCTATTTCTAGTTTCCTGAAGTGCTGTGAGTGGCACAGTATGCTGTGTGTGGTACGGTGTGCACATTGCTAGTCTATTGCTTTATTATTAATTTTGGTTTTATTTCTTTTCTCTATAGCCTCAGCACCCACCAGCAGTGTAAATAAACGTAGAGTTTCTCCTAACATCAGTTCCACCTTGGAAAAGAGAAGCGTCATTATGTCTAATATTATAATTGATCCGGATGTCAAACCTGGTGAATATGTCATCAAGAGCCTCTTTGCTGAGTTTGCTGTTCAAGCTGAAAAGAAAATTGAAGTCGTAATGGCTGAACCCTTGGTGAGTCATTTGTGATAGTAGTCATTAAATTGCTGATGTTTCTCTGAAATGTAATACCTAACTTGAAATTTATTATAAAAAAGTATAGAACAGGAGCTGATAATGTAATTGAGGAATTTTCATAGTTGGTGTCATTCAGAATGCAAGTGTGAAAAGCCCCATATCAACAGGGCTGTTAACTTGATTTTTTAAAACTACATTTCATTAAAATTGTTGCTAAGGATCCATAATATATACAGACACAAAATCCCTTAGTATTTATACGTCCTGTAAAAGTGCAGGATGGAACAAAAACAAATCTTACGCTGTAAATAATGTTTTTATGAGATGGGATGCTACTGAGAGTATCCAATTCAGGATGAACTGCTGAGAAAAAAGGCAGTCAAAGCCGAAGACTGATTGTTCTCCACTTACAAGGCACACCCAACTAGTTGAAAAGAGAATTTCTGCTTTACTATTCTGCCTAATAGGAAGTTAGAAAAGCACTTTCCTCAAATGCTCCGGTTCCTTTATATCACCACCAGAAGCACAGATGAGTAGTTATTAAAACCAGTATACTCAGTTCTTCTGATCCAAAAGAACTAGCCACACACCCCGGTTAATATATAACATAGATCTTATCCAGAAACCATACTTCTGCCAATCTAAAATATAAAGGTTTCTTTATAAAAAGAAAGAAAGGTGAGAATTAAAATTGGACAAAGGAATCAAATACATAAAACATTTGCAAAGGTCTTGGTTTCGGCTTGAAGCAGTGATGGCATAGACTACTGGCTTAACTCAAGTGTCTGGTTACTTCTGAATCATTGGAAAGACCTTATTCCCTTTGTTAGAATGCTCCCATTAGTGTAAGTCCATTGTCCAAAGGCTGGAGTAGGAAACAGGAAAAATGGAGGAGTTCCTTGGGCTTTTTATATCTTCTGACATGTGGAGGGAATCCCATTTTTCTTACTTGTGGAAAAGTAGAGTAACAAGATGGTATTCAGTCATGTGAGCCATCACATCGGTAAATCACCTATTTATGTATGACTTATTTATTTACGAGTGGAAGCCATTGTCCGCATGCTACTTTGAACTTGCCCAGGAAGTGTCATCAGTTGTGGATTGGCCTCTTCCAAGGCCCATTGTTGGTCAAATACTCTTTGATGGGCTATTCAAGTTTAATAGTCCCTTCACAATATGCTGGCCAAATGCTTCACTGGTGCTACTCAGAATCAAACAAATTGAAATATACGTGCATAGCCAAAGGTCACAATTTCCACTATTATAATGATACATGCATAGAAATAGATAATCACAATTAACAAATCATGACCTTCCCATAGACACCTCCCTTGGTAGACTTTCTACAAGATTTGTTGCAACTGTATGACAATAGTTGGAACAATGATTTTGTCATTTTAATCAGATGATGTCACATACATTAACACTGCATGTTAAAGAGCTGGCTTTTGAGAGAGGCTGAGCTTGGCTAGCTAATGCCGTTGGCTTAACCAGATGTATTATGTCTCTTCCTTTCTTTCTCTGTGATAACTGAAAGACTTTCATGCAATGTTCCAGTTGACTAGTAAACGTTGTTCTCTTTTTTGAAAATGCATCTTGGTGTTACTACAAATACTTCCTGATGTGCATCGATCCCTGAGGAGTGTAAAAGTCTCAGTCTAGAAGACCGTCTTAGTTGGACTGGTTGGGCAGAGCTGACAGTGAAACAGAAATGCTAGAGTTCACGGGCTCAGTCTGTGAGACAGTTGGACTACACGTCCTACACTGAAGGTAGAGTGGGACACTTAGAAGGGTTTGGGACACTGGAGTTCCTCCAAAGGTCTTTTTAAAAGCTGGAGTATAGCATAGGTCCCATGAAAACATCCTCTGACAAGCATCCCAACTGCCAGTCCTTCCTGTGGAGATGCAGGATCAAACTGCACTTTTTAGAGCATCCACGAAGACAGCTTCCACATCAGGAGTAGAGACACCCAAGACTTCAAATGGTTTGGGGAAAAAAATCCTACTAGCTCTTGCTGAAGTGGTTCTTGCACTTTTATATTCATCTGAAATGTGGGGTCACTTGTCATCTCTGGTCAGAGGAGACCAGAGCCACTAAGGGCATCAAGATAAAGAACCCTAGGAGATGTACTGTTTTGGCCAGAAATCCACATAGTCTTCTTAGCCCCTCATTTTTCTCAGTCAGAATCTGTGTTACTGGTATTCCTCAGCTTGAAGGATGCATACTTTCACATGCCGATCTTTAGAGATCACAGATGTTTTCTTCAATTTAGGGTGGGACATGAGCACTACAAGTTTACAGTCTTCCCCTTTGGCCTGGCTTCAGCACTATGGGTGTTTACAAAGTGTATGGTGGTGGTAGCAGACTGTTGGTGCAGGGGTGTCCCAATTTATCAGTATCATGATAACTGGCTGGTCAAGAGGAGCTTTACAGTCTCAGGTTGAAAGAGACGTAGTGGTTCTAGACACCTGCAGGTGCTTAGGGCTCCTAGTGAACAACAAAAAATCCATGTTAGTACCAGTTTAAAGGATTAATTGTGGTGGTGCTTGACTTGACCCATGTGAGAGTGTTCATTTTCCTAGACAGATTTCTAGCCTTGGCAAGCATCATAACAGAGGTGTCTAATTTTCCCCTGACAGTAGCCAGGGTCTGTCTGTCTATTGGACCATATGGCTATGTGTACATATATAACCTGTCAAACCAAGTGCTGCATCAGTTGCTGGTGTTGGCTTATTCCCAGTCCTGGGAACACTTGGACAAAGTTGTCACAGTCCCGCCACAAAACCTTACTGCCTTGCAGTGGTGGACCACTCCAGAAAAAATTCTGGAGGGAGTCCCATTTGACACCCCTGCTCCTTCCCTCAAGCTGATGTTGGATGCCTCAGATCTAAGCTGGGATATTTACTTTGGTGATCTCTGGAGGAGGCAAGATTCCACATAAATATCAAGGAGCTGGGAGTGATTTGTCTAGCCTTCAGGGTCTTCCTGTTGTGCATGTTGGGTAAGGTTGTACAAGGCCTCATTGGACAACATGGCCTTGATGTTCTACATTAACAGGCAGGAAGGGGTTTGTTTGTCAGCTCTGTGCTGAGAAGTGCTCCTTCTCTGGGATTTCTGAATTAGTCAAGGCCTCCAGATGGAGGCTAGCCAGCTCCCAGGAATTAACAATGCCCTAGCAGGTTGCTTCAACAGAGACTTCTCACCAAAAGCGCTCGCTCTATCCAGAAGTGGCCTGTGCAGTCTTGCAGAGGGAGTTTCCCTAATAGACCTGTTTGCCACCATCCAAAGCAGAAAGTGTTAGCAATTTTGCCCCCTGTGGGGATTGGGCAGGGGCTTTCTAGCTATGAGAGGGACATCAGCCATGTGAAAGCACAGCGAGATACATGTTATCTGTTTTGAAAGTCTGTGGGTTGAAATGGCTTGATGCTTTTGGAGCAGCCAGTTATAGCTACAGATAGACATGAGGAATTAGTATGATTTGGTCCTGTTGATGTACTATCACAGAGCTCTGGAAAAGTCCAAATGTAGAGCTTTTTCTCCAGTTGCACAGACTGTGGCTTTGGGAAGAACACAAGTAAGATACTTAATCCAAACAAAATTCCAAAAGTACCTGGGGCGGGAGGGAGGGGAGTGGAGAAAGAGATTTTGCATGATATCTCAGTGTCTCCTTATAGCTAAGAAATGCATTACATGGAGGTTCTCTTATGTGCATCTGTGGCTCACAAACTTTTTTGGCCAAAGCGATAGCAACCAGGAACATGGTTTTGAGGAAGATGGTGGATGGAGCACTCTAAGCAGGACTCAAAATGATGTTCTAGAAATCTGTGAAAGAGGATGCTGAGGTCTATGCTGGAGCAGGTTCTCTAACCAGTGGGTAGGCATGCATAAGTCCATTGAGAATTTGGGTACCACTGGATAAGAGAAGATACAAAATTATTTATTAGTGGATAATATGCAAACCTTGCCACCAGATGGACCTTAAGTGAACTGAGAATCCAGACTGTTTTAATTGCAGTAGAAAATAATTCAGAATCTTTGATATTGGGACTAATAATTTTGCACCACACCTAGGCTATGTTGAGATGTTCATATCGAGAACCTGCTCCATTTACAAGAATAAGCTTTCCTCACATAGTGCCCTGCTCTGTGCCAGGATTTCCTAAACACGAGAGGAACAGTCCATTACCATTGCACTCAACCAGACATTGTCCAGGCTGCAGAACTTTGCATCTTGATGGAATAGTGGACTCTGATATTATAAGGACAGATATAGCCAATCCAGGGATCTTACTCGTGGTTGTGCAGACATCCAAACAATCTTTCAGCAAGAATGGTCTCAGCCATAGTTAGCTATGAGGCAGAGTTTCACCTAACCTCATGTAATTTTGGAAATCACCTTGGGGACAAGTCGTGAGAAGAAAGGTCATGAGGACAAGGTCGTGAGAAGAAAAAAAATCTCACAATCCTCTCTGACCAGGCCCCCAAATGAAAGAGAGGGAAACATATCCCCCAGAGGTGTGGCCCCCAACTGAGAAGCAGGGGGAAAAAACTCACTCTCCTCAAGCTCCAGCCCCCAGGAATGGGGGAGGCACTGAAGTTGGGGTTTACATCTAGAGCTGGATTAACTCTTCTGCGGGTCTGGTGCAATTAGATTTTTTTGGGGCCCCAAAGCTCTTGGATGGGGCCAAAATAAAGGGTTCAGTGTGTGGGAGAGAGCTGCCAAGGAGTGGGTTGCGGGTAGAGGTGCAGGGTCTGGGCAGGAGGGAGGGTGCAGAAACAGACTGGGGGTGAGGTTGTCAGCACTGGGCAGAAAGGAGGTTTCAGAAGCAGGCTGGGGGTGAAGGTGTGGGGTTTAGGCAGGAGTGGGCAGGGCATTAGGGCACAGGTACTTCAGAAGAACACAGGTACTCCCCGCGGCTCTTCCTCTGCTACCTCATTCCCTTCACTCTCATTGGCCACCGTTTCTGGCTAATGGGAATGACAGGAGGGTGTGCCT